TCGGTTCAGCAATGCAGTTCTCAGCAAAACTGCAATCCAACTATATGGGTCGAACAAAGGAGGTGAGCATGGTTTTTCTTTGCAATTTTCTTGCAAAATTCAGAGATAGAACTAATGAAGATCAGTCCCAAGAATTGGAGATCGAATTAGGGTTTTTGGGCGGTAAGAGCAGAGAGAGAGGACTAAAAGTGTATTGATCTGAAGCAGTTCGATCTCTCTTTTCTTAATCCTTAAGAAACACCACTCCTAATCGAATTAGGAGCTTTGTAATCCAAATCATTATTTGGATCTAGACTCTATCAATGGATAAATCTTGTCCTCTTACGAGAATGAGTGCTCCAAACCCATATTTGCCCAAGTCACATGACAACTTAAGCAGTCATATGACGACTTGATTAATCCTATTATTCATGGGCTTTAGGCCCATTAACTAAGTGGCTCACGTCCCAAGAGATTTGTTGGCCCATTTAGGTTCAATTTGTATGGCGCGGGACCCCAACAATGATCTCACATAAGCCCACATGGGTTTGGCCCAACCTCTATGAAAAGGCTTGGCCGATTTCACTACTAAATGCAGTGAACCCCTGAGTCCATCAATATGAGCTCGGGCCCAACATTTACAGTTAAATGATCCCTGAGTCTAGCCATCCTATGAAGGCCCAAGGATAATGGACTTAAGTAAGATATTGCCCATCAGGTAAACAACCCTTAATGGTCTCTTACACTTAACCTCTCAGCCCACAATGATCAAACACTGCCCAATATGGAAGGACCTCTCCCCTGACTGCAAGGTGCAGTGTTGCACTCTCTGCTCGGATGAGTCCCGGGAATTAAAATCTTTTGCAAACATTTTTCTTGGAACATAATATATATATCATATAAATATATTTTGCAAAACAAATATTAAACACGGTTGAAATCTACTGCTGGCAGTTTTGGTTTCTATCAGAGAGAGTGTAGTCCCAATCATTCTCCTTGTCTGACAAAGGGCCTAATCTTATCACTATGATCACCCACTTAAGTGAATTCTCAGACTACCCCAACATACCCAAGTTTTGACCCCCGAAAGGTCTCACTGATTGGCATATCAAAGATGGCCCGATCCGACACCTAGTGCAGTACCATAATAAAGTGTAGGGATTATGTGTAACTTTCTAGTTTTGCCCATCAATCTCCAAGGTCCAGGGCATAACTAGAAAATGGTCTGGTTCAGTGCTTCAAACAAACACACACTACATGTGCTTTGGGTCTAACGTTAGCATCTGAGACAAGTTTCTCCAACTTTTTGGCAGCACATCAGTGTCAGCCTTGGCAGGATAAACTCCAGAAGTCTATCCAATGGCTGAGAACATTCTTAACTAACACGAGTCTCATAAGTGTCTAATTTAATGGGTAAATACACAGAAACACACCAATGATAACATGAAACAATAATGCACTTTTATTCATGTACAATATGTGTATATGTACATAAAAATGGTTAGAGCTAAGGGCTTACATTGTCTAACATCTGTGCTAAAGGAAACCCTTGTCTTTGGAAGATAATCGATCGACATAGTTACTTTGGCACAAACATAGTTTTAAGCCACTGAAATGGACTTAACTAGTCCTACTCGTTCCACTAATGAACGATTGGCGTTCACATCCAAAATTTCAAATGGAATACCATGAATCTAAAGCCAAATGTCTATCTCATCTAGATTCCAAGCATATTGAGGTCAACCCAATTTCTAGGGTTGCAAAATCATCCATTGATCCTAAAAACCCCTGTGACCTTTATCCCTAATACTGATAAAATCGTCCTCGTATATGAACCTAAGACAAAAATAACCACGTTGAAATAAGGATATAAGCAGTTGTGGTTGATTCAAGTGCCAAAGATTATAGAGCCCTTGTTCAAGTTCATCAAATCGATTTGTAAGATAAGGAAAAAGTCATCCACTGAAGGAAAATTGCCAAAAGTCATGAAGATTTTGAGGGATATGTGGTTGAATATTCAGTAATTCTACCCCTGTGTGGTGACCTTCATGTAGCATATTTTGGAAGTCTTGGTTAAGAGCATCTAGATTTTCTGTGAGGAAAAAGAGGAAGATGCAGAGATTGGGTGTCTGAACCATATGTCTCAACCATTGTCTGAACCATTGTCTCAACCACAATTCTGTCCAATGTTTCTGAACCATATGGTTGAACCATGGTTTGAACCACGGGTCAGGGCTTGGGTGTCTCACTTGTTAGGGATTGGGTAACTAAGAACAAGTCAACAAAGTGGGTAGCTAAAATCTAGTGCACAACTACATTGGGTGTCTCACTTGTCCAATGCATATCTGACAGTACATTTACTTTCTGTCTATGAAGATAAATGCATGTGTGGTAGACAAGGTGGGGAACCGCCATTAACAATGACCGATCATATAAAGAAAGGGAAAAATCCCCCATGCACAACATTAAACCCTACTAAACATATGACATTCATCCATTTCGGATGTATCAAACCATGTCTACAAGCCTTAAAMCCTACTTCAAAACATATGCCATTCATGGATCTCGGTCATATCTAACCATGTGTCCACAACTAAGGGAATGAAAACCCTAAAAAATAGAACCCTATAAACTCTTGCATTAAAATCAAGAAGAAGTCCATGTAATATAAACATAATTAAAAAGAATAGAAAATGATAGAAAACAATAGCAAAAAAAATACCCTGGTTGTCTCTTCCAATGCTGCCAACAAGAGTCGTCTTCTCTGGTAGAGGTTGAGTTAAAAAAAGGGGATACAATTTCTTCCAGCAATGGCAACAAGAGTCGCCTTCTCTGGCAACAACACTGGTTTCTTCAATTTCAACTTTTCCGGCATCGCATTCGACTATCGATTTCAACTTTTCTAGCGTGGCATTCGCTTGACATCATTGGCGTGAGGAACTAGTTTTCAGAATTTCAGGTAACAGAGTGGGAGAATAGTGGTTCCCACTTGCAAAGAAAGGGTTCACATTGGGGTCATTTTCGTTATTTCGAAATTGAATTCATGCATTGCTCATGTGTAATTATGTCTTTTTGTCTTCTAACTAACAGTGAGTTAATGTCGGGTACTAAATCGTAGCAAAATGAAAGTTCGGGTACTAGATTGTCGTGTTTTAAAGTTTGGGGTACTAAAGTGGCACTTGGCCTAAAGTACTGGGTACCTATCGGGAATTTTCCCTTAAAATAAATCAYTGCTTACAAAATACAATTAAGGAAGTGAGAATGGTTGTTGATAACAATTGAATTAGGAGAGCCACCTATGGCAAGATCAAATCTACTCAATGTCGCTAGGGTTGTCAATGGATTAGGATCGATCTAACAAAGTGACCCGATTGAATCAATTCTGGTTTAGGATATATCTTGATGGGTCGGTTCCGATTTCTAATATATTGTTTGACCAATTATACCCTATTTTGAACCAATAGGTAACTATTCTATATATCCCACCACTCTTAAACTAATGAATCATCAGTCTCTCTCCTTTCATTCCACCTCACACGTTAATATTAGAATAAATATGTTTTTTTTTTATGGAAGGTTTATATCATGATCATGGATAGGAGCGGGAATCACCTAATTCATATAAATTGGATTTTTTGAATGCGCATATATGGAAATAGAGTTTTGGAGAATGTGGGTTTCTAGGATTCTAAGAGGTTTTAGATTTTCCTCTCTTCTTTTCCATTCAAGCAATACGAACAACTTTATTTTTTTTCATTCCAACATTTATTTTCCTCTCTCTCTTTCTCATTCCAACAATTCATCTGTGTTATTTGAATCCAACATTTTTTACTGCATCTACTTGCTTTGTATTATACTCGCTTTAAGAGGTAGGCAATGTGCTGTATTTGCATTGTTCATTACAATTTCTTTCTCAAATTGCCGTTTTTAAACTTGAACAGACCAAAACAGGGGAGAGTGTTTCGATCCCTTTTGGCTAATTGTATTTGCTTTGGTAGTAGGCAAGTGGTTGGTTAGAACGTTCATAATTAGCCTTGATCGGTTTTGGACTGATTACCATCTCTATCGGATTTTGGTCGATTGGATTCTCAATCACCGATGTCTTTTTCAATTCCAAATACAAAGTACGTGTTTTTAATTTGTTTTGTCATTCTCGGACTTTCAGTCCCAACTAGGGCTGAGAAAAAAAAACTAAAAAACCGAATTGATTGAAACTGAACCGACCGGTATACATAGATTTCTATATATTTTATGTATATTATATATATTTTATATTTTATATATTATAAAATAATAAAATAGATTTTTTCCCACATTCAATTTTCTTGCCATTGTCTTTGGCTTCATTTAGTGTAGATTTTTTCCCATTTTCTCATCATTTTTTACAAGTTATACTCTCAGTCATCGTCTAATGTCATCGGTGAATTTTCCAATGAGTTTTTTGGGCTAATGGGATTAAAGGGCATACATTCGATCGGTTTGTTCAACCGAATACCTAATTGATATTTTCGTCTAACCATTTGATCTAACTAAATCGAACTGGTATGAAATATATACTCAAACCAAACCAAACCGATTCGATTTGCCTTTTTATTCGGTTGAAGATAGCAAATAAGAGAATTGCATATGACATGACATTGGTTGGCCAAATTGGGTGGGTTTGATTTTGATCAGCTTACAAATCGTAAAATCAAAACTGATTTAACTTGGTTGGATTGGAAAATTATTAAACCAAAATCATCAAAAATACTATAAATTTGGCCATGGGTTGAATAGATCAGTTTCATAGGTTTAATGAACAACCTTAACTAAAAATAATTTTTATTGTTTGTATTTATATTATAAAAAATATTAAAAATATTAAATAAAATATAAATAATTATTAATTATTTAAAAAATTAAAATATGAATTACACTGTTATGTATTTCTATTGTTTTAATTTTTCTTTAACAAACCCCTACTAATATATACATGTACAGATATACTAATATTCAAATTAGCATATGCATAAAATGGTAATTTCGGTAGGGTTTCATTCAAAATACCCTGCCGAGTGACCATCCCAGATGACCAAAAACGAAAGGGGTTTTTGGCCTTCTGCAACTGAGTAGTTCACTAGTCACAGACTCACTACCATCTCTTCTCTTTCGTTCTCAAGTTTCATCGTTTCTCTCCAGACTCACCGTCTCTCTCCATCTCTTCTCCATTCGAAAAAAGGCAAAAACGAAAGGGGTTTTTGAATTCTCGATCTTCTGCAACTGAGCAGCTCACTGTTCATCGTCGATTGTCTCTCAGACTCTCACTGTCTCTTCTTCATTCATTCTCCATTCTCCGTTGTTGGGCTATCCCGAGCAAGCCAATAGTAAGACTGTCTATGCTAAGCCATAACCCCCGTAAGCCATGAGACTGTCTATGCTAAAATGCGCATCTTTATGCGCTCGCCATCTCCTCTCCGCTCCGACTTGCAGACCAAACCCTATTTCGTCCACTCTCCCTCTCACTGCAGCCCTTCCAAACCCTATCTCTTCCACTCTCCCGCTCAGACTTTTTTCTTCTGATTCATCCAACGAAAATCCTCCTGCTCCTGAGACCAACTTAGCAGAGCCACAGAAGAAAGACATCGATGAGCCACCGAAGAAGGAGATCTCCATTGATGTCAAAGACGTCGGCAACAAGGGTTGGTATAAGAAACTGAAGTAATTTGTTCTATAGTTAAAATTTTTCCTGACTTTTTGTTTTCGACCGGATCATTTGCAATTTATGCAGAGTTCCGTGATCGGATTGAGAGGTACTTAAAGGGGGATGAAGAGGCTCTCCCGTCGATCATGGAAGCAATCCTTGCGAGAAGGTTACATGGGAAGCACGAGGAGACCGACGACGAGTTGATAGAAGAGCTTAGGCAGAAACCCCTTGATGATGTTAAAGATAAAGAGTTCGAATCGGACTTTGAGGAGCTGTATGACACTGACGAGGAGATTGACAATCTGTATAATGCGAGGCAGATTGTCGAGAAGAGGATGGTAAAGGACGAATACTTTAACATGGACGACCGCAAATGGGACGAGATGATTAAGGAAGCTACTGAGAAAGGGTACCTCAAGGATACAAAGGAGTGCGAGGAGATTCTCGAGGACATGCTCAGCTGGGATAAGCTCCTCCCGGGTACATATAAATATTCACTTCTCTCTTTGTTTTATAATCAGTGTGTTGCTTGCTGTATAAACTGAATTCTCATTTCATCCCTACCTGCATAAAATTTTGCAACCTTTAGTGACATCATCTATTTGAGAATTCTTATGCGAATGCAACGAACAATCTTCATATCAGGCTCGTTCCTGTCCCATTAGCTTGGAAACCACGAATCCCTTAATTACAATTTGTTAGAGTTTATTGAAGTAAATTATGGATCCATAGAACCATTTCACCAGGAATCAAATATCGATACTTTTATTATCAGCAAATCCTTACTATGGTTCAAAATATCGGATACATCCTGATACGCCAGATGGTGTGGTATTGGGTGTTTCGACCACACACAAGGCTTTTTTGCTTTTTTTTTTATAAATTTTCTCAAAATTACTTCTCTGGGTTGGTCTTAGGCCTGACTGCCCTATAAATTTGGTCAAAGCCCCAAAGGCCTCATATTTGAGGTATTGGGGGCTTGCCAATATGTTACACCCGATTTAGGGCATATAGTGTTGAATCTTACCCCAAAAATTATGTTTTCATGTGTGCACACTAGCACACACATTATAAGTTCTTTGTTAAGCCAAATGATCTATCCACTTTTCGGAGCTTGATGAATGACATATTTTTGGCCATTCATTCATTGATATATATTGGTCTTCTTTGGCAATATTCTCGACCACATCCCGGACTGGATTTCACACCTGGGGCATCTTAGAACCGCTTTAGACATCTTGCAAAAACACTAACCGTTTACTAAGTCATCCAATTGCATTTTATCCAAACCTAGGTCCATTACCTAGGGCACATCATTTCAGGTAGTAAAGTGATGACTGGTCTGGACAAAATAGGAGTATGGCCAATTGGGCTTGGCCATGACAGCTAAGGCCCTAAGAGGTTTACTTGGGTTAACTGGATACTATCACTGGTTCATCAAGGGGTATGAAAGTCCAGCAGCTCTGCTAACTCAATTGGTTAAGGATTCCTTCAAATGGGAGAGATTATCCTTGTTGGATTTCTCCAAGGAGTTTGTAGTAGAATGTGATGCCTTGAGGTAGGGCATTCAGGCATTGGAGTGGTTATCATGCTCTAGGGGGCCAACCAATAGCATACTTCAACAAGGCCCTCTCAGCTTAGGCCCAACTGAAGTTGACATTTGAGAAGAACTAGATGGAAGTGGTACTATTCATCCAAAAGTGGTAGGCCTACTGGTTGGGCCACTGGTTTACAATATGCATGGATCAAAGGAGTCTGAAGCATTTATTGGACTAATGGATCTTTGGTCTAGAGTAACAAAGTGGGCTTCCAAATTGTTAGGTTACAGTTTTTCTATCAAATATAAGCTAAGCCAATCAAATGCTGTAGCTGATGCTCTTTCACATGCTGAAGAGTTGGCCCATTTACATGTCTCAAAGCCCCAAAAGAATAGGCCCTCCATGGCTCAGAGCTAGGCCAGATATGACTTTAGTGGCAATAAAACCCCACATCTGTACTTGGCTATCTAGTAGTGGAACCTATTCTACAAAGGTTGACTAGTCATGGTATCTAAGTCAACCTTCCACAAATAACTACTCAAACTACTCTATGAATCAGTAATTGGAGGGCATTTGGGGGGGTACTTTGAACTTTCTGACAATTGGCTTCACACTACTACTGGAGAATGATTAAAAAAAGGGTTGAGTTGGTGGCAGCATGCACCCTGTGCCCACAGTAAAAGTACACAGTGCAAGCTCTGTGCAGGATTATTGCAGTCACTTTGATGCAGGAGAGGAATAGTCAAAATTGGAATTTTGTGAAGTTTTATGTATTTCTGTATTTTTGGACAATAGGGATATTTTTGCCATTTTACAAATTTTCTGTGTGTGTGTGTGGGGGGGGGTCCAATGATAGGGTCTAACTTGTCTATTTGTAGTTTGTTTATGTTAAAATTTCAGAGTCATTGCATAAGTAGGATTAGAGTTGTTGAGAATTCTTTGAATTGAAAGAAGATAATGGTGGTTTAGTTTGAGTCCTAGGACTATTGAGTCTAACAGTTTGACTCCTAGTATTATTATGAGTTTAGAGTCTATAAATATGTATGGACTTTTTACATAAAGAGCAATGAAACTTATTGATTTTTTTTTCAAGTTATGCTAATCATGGTGAGTGATTCCCATACCCTAGAGTGATTCTAGGCACCCTTGAGTGATTCCGGGTATTTTCTCTCTTCTTTCTCTCCCTATTCTCTTTCTTCTTCTTCTTCTTCTTCAAGAAGCCATTACAGCCATCAACAGCCATAAATTTCTGATCAAAGAAGACCATTCAACATTCTCTTAAGGACTAGAATTGAGCTGGACCTACATCACACTTCCAATTCCCAAGTATGTTTTGGGATGGAATCTCAATGGACTTCGTTATTGGCTTTCCAAATCTTTGGGGAATTCTGTACTTTTGGTGGTGGTGGACTGAATGATCTAGTTTGCTCGCTTCATTGTCCTTATTCATCCTTGCATTGCAGCTTAGGTGGCCCATGTCTTTGCTCAAGAGATAACCAAGCTCCATACCCATTACTTTTTTGAGCTGGTTCTGAGTTAAGGGTTTTTTTTTTTTTTTTGAGTCAAAGGGACCCAATTATGTCAATATTTGCAATTTGACGAACAAACAGAAGTGTTGAACATGTGAACTGTTGTTTGGAAACTTATTTGAGATGCTTTGCAGGATAGCAACCCAACTAGTGGATCAAATGGTTGTCATGGATCGAGTATTGTTGTGACGCCACATACCATGTGTCTACGGACATAACACCCTTCAAAATCCTGTATTGGTGGGATCTGTCCCCCATTTTGCACTAGGAAAAGGGGTCATCAGCAGTAGCAAAAGTTAACAAGCAGCTCAGTAGCTCACCAACAAAGATAAAGTTTGTTTTCTTCTAGGAAGAAGAGAAGAAAGGAAGAAGAGAGGAGGAGAAGAGAGAATGGCTGTTTGGGAGCCAAAACTTCTAGCTGGCGGCACTCAGCTTTCTATATATTAATGAGAAAAATAAAAGAGGAAAAATTACATGCTTGCCCTTGGTAGCACACCCTAATAAAAACAATAACAAAAAACGGTAAACAAGCTGACAACACCCTAAGACTAACAACATAAAAAACTGACAATAGAAACAACTAACAAATCATTCTAACAATACTCCCCCTCAAGTTAGGCTGAATATATCTATCATGCCCAACTTGTCACATAGCTCATTATGTCGCAAGTATTGCAGTCCCTTTTTGAGAACATCGGCCAACTGCTCCTTGGAACACCAACTGGATAAGCTATGTCCGGGTGTGTCATGGACAAGTAAAGCAATCTTCCCATTAGTCTTTGAAATTGTTTTACATCTTTTAGAGGCTCACCATCACGATCACCCAATTTATGATTAACATCCATAGGGGTGTCTGTTGGTTTTGCACCTAGCTTGCCTATGTCTTGTAGCAGAACTAGGATGTACTTCCTCTGAGAGATGAAGATACCCCTTTTTGAGCGGGCAACCTCAATTCCAAGAAAGTACTTTAGGGGACCCAGATCCTTCACCTCAAATTGGGAAGCCAAGAACTCCTTCAACCTTTGTGTTTCAGAGCTCCAGTTCCTTGTAATGATGATATCATCCACATACACTATCAACACTGCAACTTGTTCCTGACACCTCTTAACAAAGAGAGTGTGATTAGACTGACATTGTTTGAATCCTACCTGTTGAATTTCCATATGAAATCTACTGAACCATGCTCTAGGAGATTGTTTTAAGCCATAGAGAGACTTTCTCAACTTGAACACCTTATTCTCACTTCCTTTGGCGCAGAAGCCTGGTGGCTGAACCATACAAAACCTCCTCCTCCAAATCACCATTTAAGAAAGCATTTTTTACATCAAGTTGATGCAATTCCCAATCAAGATTTGCAACCAATGATAACAAACCCGAATTGAATTCATCTTCGCTACAGGGGAAAATGTCTCATCATAATCAATACCATAAACTTGAGTATACCCTTTTGCTGCCAGCCTTGCTTTGTATCTTTCTACCGTTCCATCAGCCTTGTGTTTCACTGTAAACACCCACTTACACCCCACATGTTCTTTCTCTTTTGGAAGATCCACTAACTTCCAAGTGTGATTCTTTGGAAGATCCACTATCGTGTAGATAAGAATGCCTGGTGAGTGGGGGAAATATGGTCATAAAATACATAGTGGGTAATAGGGTGTTTGGTACTACACGATCCGACTCCCTCTCTATGAGCAATCGGGATGTCAAGATCATTCACAACCGAAATGGGAATAGGGGAATCAACAGGGACAAGTGTGCTTGGCTCATTTGGACTTACCTCTTGAGAGTTTGATGGCGTTGGTTGCTCAGCATCCGGTAGCTCTACATCTTTAGAACACTATTGGTCTCTACGGTGTGTACGTAGGAAGACACAAAATGGAGTTGGATCCGGAATAGAGGGAAGAAAAACTTGGGCGAACCAGCTTTTCCTCCTTTGTACTATTCTCCCCCTAAGGAGAAGTTGGGTAGAACGGTTTAGACTCGAAGAAGGAAACATCCATGGAGACAACAAAGTACTTATGACCAACAAGATCAAAACACCGGTACCCCTTTTGAGAGGAGGGATACCCAAAGAAGATACATGGAATAGACTGAGGGTCCAACTTACCCCGAGGAGATAAATCATGAACAAAGGCATGGCAACCAAATACCCTCATAGGGATGGAAAACAAAGGGGATTGAGGAAACAACAACTGATGGGGAGACATGTAGTTCAATACTCTAGAGGGCATGCGATTGATGACATATGCAACAACAAGTATAACATCTACCCAGAAACGTTTTGACTCATTCATATGTAACATCATCCCTTGTGCTACTTCAAGACGATGTCTTTTCTTTTTTTCAGCAACACCATTTTTGTTGTGGTGTTCTTGCACATGAACTCCTGTGAAGGGATCCATGGGATGCAAAA